AGAACAAAAAGAATTGGGCAAAAAGCTTCACACAGTGCTGGGAGTCAGGGATCACATCTTCGTAGGGCAGAAGTTCCCAGCGTTGGGGATCCTGATGATTAAACTGTAACTCCTGGAGGCACAAAGAAATAATGCAGTTTGGGAACTGAAGTCTCATTCAGTCTGTGCTCCCAAGATCATTTATCATAAACCTGGTTTTTGAAAGAAACATATAGGTGATTTCCTCTTTGAGGAGGTAAAGGGGGAGTGGCATATACCCTTTGCAGAGAGTCCATTAAATCAGCATTTATACTAATGTCCTAATAACGCCAGTTTAATGAGTTGAACGTTTTCTGTATTAAACAAGGATGCCAAGTTAGTTCTGATTTCCAAGATTGAACCAGTTAATGTTGGAACCTAACATTCCAGCTCTGGTTGAACTGTATGTCAGTTATTTGCAAGATACAAAATTTCTGTTGCTCTGTAATGGCTGAAAGGCACACCTTTTGAAAGAATTTCTCCCCCTCTCATCATTCTGAGAAGCCTTGGTTTGCCTTTGCATTCAGTAGTGGGCCCTGCCAAGCCAAAATTAATGCTTGGAGAAGACTGCAGCTGTGTCCATAACTGAGGATCATTTTTGTTTTGCCATGTTTTCTTTAGAAGGTCACAAGTTTGCAGGAGTGTCTATTTACGGGAAGTTCAGTAAATTAGTTGACTCCTGGTTTGCTGGAGAGAGTGAAATGGAGGCTAGAGAAAATAAAAGAGAAAAAGTTTTCAAGCTCTTCAGCATTTTTCATTCTTGGTAGAGGTTGGAATTAAGTTTTATTTGAGGGGGAAAGTCAACTAGTTTTTTATTAAAATGTAAATTACTGTTTTTAAGTTTAGAAATTTCAGAACTTAGATTATTGATTTAGTTGCATCAGTGCTATTTTCTCATCACCACTCCCTTTTTAACCTTTGATTATTCTTGGAGGCATGTGATAATTAAGAATGTCCTGTCTCTTGTTGCAGCCCAAATGAATATCAGCTGGGTTGCTGACATTGGTGGTGGCAACAATTAGCAGAAACAGCCCATTGCAAATTAAGAAATCAGGAATTGGCAACATGCAAAAGAAAAGGAAGTGTTAGCCTAATGTGTTTGAAGTGGTAGTGTGCCTCATGCCTTTGCTGTAAAGCAGGGGTCTCAGACACACAGCCTGCAGGCCATTTGCGGCCCTTTGGATGATAGTCTGTGGCCCCCACCTTGCCTGCCCCCAAAGCGCTCACGCGTCCTCTGCTGTCAAGAGTCAAAAAAAGCCTTGCCTCGTTCGCTGGCTCTCTCCCAAGACAGCGCCTCTTGCACCCTCCATCTAGAACTGCAGCCTGCCAGCCAGCCCTCAGAGGCTGGCGAGCAATGCGCACTGCTGACCTTTTTCCCTGAGCGCCCGAGCCACCACCAAGTGATGCCTGAGAGCAGAGCTCGCTCCCAGCCCATCCTCAAAGAGCGCCTCCAAGCCACCAATAGCAACTGCCGCCCCGCCATCTCTTCCAGGGAAGCAGCTCTCTGGCCTTCTTTCTCTCTCGGCACCCCCAGCACAAGCCTGGCCAGCGGCCATCTCAGTACCCGGTGGTGCTTCCTCCTCCTCTTCATCCTGCTTAAGCCGCCTCAGCTCTGTAGGCTGCATGGGCTCGCCTTGCAAAGTTTGCTCCTCTGTTGTGGTGGAGGTAGCTGCTGCTGCTGAGAGCGCCTTTTTTGAGGGGGCCCTCAGAGGAAGATTGGCAGACCTCCATGTGTGTGTTTGTGTGTGTGCACACACCTGTGGGGGGCCGCCTTGTTCTATTTAATTTTGTGGGTACCAGTGGGGGCTTTTCTCCTTTGGCAAGGTGAATTCTGTGAGGTTTTTTTTTAAAAAAATTTATGTCATGCCCTCCTCCCCTCCGGCTAGATGGTCGCCGGCACTCCCTCCCTTCTCCACTTCTTCATCCTGCTGCTGCTGCTGCTGCTGGTGGTGGTAGTGAAGAAGGAACCAGAGGAGGTTGTGGCTGGCAACGACGGATTGTGCGCCCCTCCTCCTCCTCCTTGGAGCCCCAGCCGAGCTAAAGAAACTCCTGGGCGGCTTCCTCGGCTCTTGCTCCACTTGGTGGAAAATCTGATGCGGCTCAGCCTCACCCAGACTCTGCCTCCAGCGGCCCCCAGGTAAATTGAGTTTGAGACCCCTGCTGTAAAGTATATATGTGAAGACTGACTGGCTGGAATCTTAGAATGGAAGTCTGAGGAATGAGAGTTGGAAAGGAAGACAAGACATAATGTGACAAGAGGAGAGGCAGACAAGAGGAGACTATTTGAGATGGTAAATTGTTCAAATCCCAGAAGTTGGATGTAGGCATGACTACAAAGGGAGACTGAGATTTCGGAAATTATTTCTGTTTTCTAAATGTGTTGTGGTAAGAACAATTTGTAAATCGCCAGGTTTCTTCAGTGTAATGTTTTGTTCCTTATAAAAACTAAAATAAATGATGGGCAAGAAGATATTCAGATTGGGAAAGGTTGTAGGAGTATCAAGATTCTTTTGGTCACATTCTTGATCAGTTGAGTTAATGCATGTCCTTCAAAAGGATTTCATAGAAATGAGCCTACTCACCTTCTGTTGTGTGAGCCATATGTGAATTCACTCTCCTCTGTCTTTCTGTCTTGATTTCTTGCTGACTTGCTTGCTAGTCCAATTTTATTGTACTTATCTAATGTAAAATTAAACAACAGTTCAACACCAACAGAGCTATTACAAATCTGTCACCAAATTTAAACATAAATGAATTACATATTTAGGTCATTAACAATTAACTAAGCTGCTTACAGAAAGAGGGAGAAGAAAATTTGGATAATGTAACATCCCAGAATCTATGTTCAGTGATGCTTTTTCATATGGAATGGAAAAGGAGGTTGTAAACATTTAAACCAGACTCTTTAGGTGCTGCAGTGATCTCAAGTTGCACTTAGCACTGCTGGGATGAAGAAACAACTCCCATTTTAAACATGAGCACAGATATAAAGTCTTCCCCTTAGATTTTAGAATGGATTGGAGAAGTTCTAGTTTTCAGAGTCCAGAAGGACTTTCTACATTAAAGCACAAGTATATTTCTTCATGAATTGTCATGACTGAAACATCATAGCTACGCTCATGTTTTTAGTAGCACCAGGATGGAAAGTAGCAGAATAGGGTGCCTGAGTTGATCTACTTATACCATATGCCAGAAGATTATATCTTGATTTTATTTAACTTTTTGTTCAATAATATTAGAATGTATTAGCCAGCATTTGTTATTCAGTATCAGCCACCTGTCACCCTGGCTCTTTGTTTCTTACCCACCCACGTCTTTCATGCATTTTGTTCTGATAACTATTTATCCCGACCCTGCTTATTTCTGCTCTGATGGTAACTTCTAAACCTGACTCTTCGCATCCCATGCTAACTCATTTAGTTTTCTGTACTTCCTTCTAAATAATTTCACTACTACAAGCAATGATCCAAACAGCAGAAACACAGACACAAACATACGCTAAGAACATTGTAACATTTTTACTCAGATCCTAACTGTGACATAGAAGAAACCTGAAACCTTTTCAGTAACGTGTGGAATTATATCAGCAAAACTATGATCACATTGTTGTAATAATTAAATTTTAAAACTGTTTTGTGCCACTGATATATTAATACATTGGCTGATCTATTGCAAAAGTGGGAAGTGTGGTACTGTTAGGTAGCAGTGTGCTCTCAGACATCTTTCCTGGTGATTGACCCACCTTGATTTTAACTTTGTAAAACAATTTCAAAAATGTTCTGACCAGCAGTTGAGCTTCTTTTGAAGTGATATGACAGCCTTCAGACACTGCCATCTTTGTTTCTTATGAATGTCTGAATGACACATGGAGCTCTGTGATATTTTTTAGAAAATAAGGATAGTAGGTGGCTATAAGGTGAGTTTTTTTCCTCTGCGTTGTGCTGAGCCACCAAGAAAAAGGAGGGGAGAAAGGAAATGACCCATGTCTCTGCTTCCTGATAGGTGGAGAAAGGCAAACAGCACTGAGTGGTTAGGAAAATTGATGGTAAACCATCAGGGATGGCAGAGAAGGCAACAGAGGTGGGGGCATAGAAATCAGTGGGGAAATGGCTAGTGGGGGGGGGAATGGGAAGCCAGCAGGGTGTTGTGACAGTTTATGTATATGTCTGAATAGAGGGGAGTTTTGTCTGTATGAGAAACTGCTCGGGAATATTTCAAAGAGAGTGGGAAACATTTGGAACAATCTTGAAATGTTGTGTGTGTGGGGTTTCATGTGTTTTCACTGACATAGAAAAGGGACATGTGTATGGTTGTAATTATGCATGACGATTACATAGGTTTGCAAGTATATATGTGTGTCTTTGTATGAGAGAGTGAAAGAGACAGAAAGAAAGAGAAGGCAGGAAAAAGAAATCGGGGATAAAATGAAGGAAAAGAAAATGAGGGAATGTGTTGGCTGACAACAGCAGAGGGAGAAAATAGTTTGTTGTTAAACAGGAATGGTCAGGTCTGTTGACAACAACCTCTCTTAGTACTCAGTCTTCAGGGCACATGACTTGTGACTCCTTTGTGACTTGGCATGCCTCCTTGACAGCCAATATCTGGTAACATCAGTGACAGTTCATTAAATTGCCAAAAATATAATGGGGCCAGAAAGACTGGAGGCCACTGATCTGTGGACGTGATACATTCATTCTGATTCTGACTTCTATCATTATTTGTCATCATAAGATACAAAGCCAGATGCAAAAGATCTGTGAGCATGTTGCTGGCTTTTTGATAAAAGCAATGAAAGTGAATATAGGGACTCTTAAACATTTTTCAGTTGGAATTGAATGAGTTCCATTATTCAAAGAGGGGAAATAGCTTTTTACAAATCAGATTCTTAGCTATTAAGTCATGTTTAAGAATACCACTGAAGATCCTGATTTTTCCATCTATCCTATGAGAACTGATGATAATCTATCTGCTTATCTCTTTAGGTCTGGTCCATCACATCTGTAATCTCCTCATAGAAACTGCAGCTCTGTGCTTGGATGCAGATGATAAGAGCAACATCAAGACAGCAAACAATTTGTTCCTGTCCTTGCTTGGCATTTTGCATCACACACTCATATATACTGCTAATATTGTCCGCCTGACACTACAGGTATAGTCTATTTTCCAGTAAAATTAATACTATTGTGCATATATTTAGTTTACTTCCCTTTACTTTGTTGTGTTCCCCCACTGCAAACTCAAAGGAAATAATACATTTGATTAAGAAAGAAATGTATAGAGAGTTTTTGCAGTAGTTTGTTAACTACATGTGAGTTGAATGCCCACAATAGGTGTCCTTGATTTTCACCAGTCCTTTTAATTACATTAAATAAATAAGTAAATTGTATAAGAGGTTACAACTCTAATATTCTCCAAAAATATTTAAATCCTCCTATTTTGGATATGTCTTAAGAAAGTTTAAGTGTCCATTACCACAAAATGTAATTCTTGCATTTAATGTGTGTGTTTCTTAAATGCTGCAGTTTTGACCCTGCACTCAGCATATGGATCAATATGCTTTTTTCTCTCTAGCAATGTTCTCTCATATCATTAATCAATGTGACAAACCCAGACCTACTGGGATCTGCCACACGTTAACTAAGCTGCCACCAACCATTCCCTATAAGAAGTCACACAGACCAGGGATGGATTTTCAACAAATAAAAGAATAAGGTTTATTTAAAACAACACACAGGGAAAATAAAATGCTCAGGTGAATAAGATATAGTAACGTGGCTTAGTTTCACTCATACATACACACAGTTTGGTTCACACAGAACACTTAACTTGAAGCACAGACCCTGAACCTATCAGTTCTGGCTAACCAACAGACACCTGAACCTATCAGGTTGGTACTCTGACACACAGTAGTACCCTGTCTGACACACAGACTCCCACACCAGCTTCTTCTTCCCAGCTGCTGCTTTGTCTCCTCCCAGCGTCTTCTACTTCACCACACAGGCTTCACATATATATACAGTACAGCCCCTCCTCCTGATGTCCCGCCTTCCACTCCCCATAGGATGGAACTTTCCCTCCAAACCCATGACAGACAGGTAACATCAGTGCTGTATGTAACAGTCGCATCTTGTGTTCATATTTAATTACTGTAGTACCATCAATGCTCATATAGTTTAGGGACAGAATGTAGGCCACAGACCACCAACACAGAAATATCTACAAAATGAAGTTCTTCCAACTTTACGCTGATTCTGAGAGGGCCTAGCTGGTCCAAGATCTGGTTGTGGTGAGAAAGCATTATATGCTCAATATATTCAATTTTAATTTGTAGTCTTTCTGATCTTGACCTAACTAACCATAAAAATCTATAAAAATTACCATAATATTTTGTAAAATATCATTGTGTAGGCATCCTTCAGTCTCAAGAGACTATGGTAATGTGCTCTGAATAGAGGTCTTGGAACAGCATCTAGTGTGGCTGAGTATGACAATCCCTTCCACACTGAAGACAAATATAGTCCCCTGTCCAGCTCCCTGATTTTGCTGGTTTTGGGACTGCCTCTTTGCCTCGGTCTGCTGGACGTGTCTTTTCAAATTGGGAGAGGCCGTGATGCACCGCCTGCCTCCAGGCTGAATGCTCTGATGTCAAGGTTTCCCATCTGTTGAGGTCCATTCCTAAGGCCTTCAGATCCTGCTTGCAGATATCCTTGTATCACAGCTGTGGTCTCCCTCTAGGTTGCTTTCCCTGCACTAATTCTCCATACAGGAGATCTTTTGGAATCCAACCTCAGCCATTCTCATGACATGCCTGAGCCAACGTAGATGTCACTGTTTCAGTGATGTATACATACTAACAATTCCAGCTCATTCCAGGACTACACTGTTTGGAACTTTGTCCTGCCAGGTGGTGCCAAAGATGTGTCGAAGACAACACATATGGAACGTGTTCAGCTTCCTCTCCTGCCATGCACAGAGGGTCCAGGACTCACTGCAGTACAGGAGTGTACTAAGGACACAAGCTCTATAAACCTGGATCTTGGTATATGCCGCCAGCTTTTTGTTAAGCCATACTTTCTTTCTGAGTCTAGAGAACATGGTAGCTGTTTTGCTAATGCAAAACAGCTCGATATCTAGAGAGAGCATTTCAGAGATCGTTGAGCCGAGGTACACAAAATCATGAACAACCTCCAATTCTTTTATAGAGATGTTAATAGAGGGAGGTGAGTCCATACCCTGGCCCATAACTTGTGTTTTCTTCAGGCTGATTGTTAATCCAAAATCTTGGCAGGCCTTGCTAAAATGATTCATAACTTGTTGGAGATCTTTGGCAAAATGGGCGACAACAGCTGCATCATCAGCGAAGAGGAAGTCCCGCATGCATTTCAGCTGGACTTTGGTCTTCACTCTCAGTCTAGAGAGATTAAAGAGCTTTGCATCTGATCTAGTCTGGAGATAGACGCCTTCTGTTGTGGTTCCAAAAGCATGCTTCAGCATGACAACAAAAAAGATCCCAAACAGTGTTGGCGTGAGGAGACAGCACTGCTTCACTCCACTTCAAATGTCAAAGGGATCTGATGATGAGCCATCAAAAATGACAGTGCCCTTCATTTCCTCATGAAAGGACCTGATGTTGTTAAGGATTCAAGGTGGACATTCAATCTTGGGGATTATTTTAAAAAGGTCATCCCTGCTAACCAAACCAAAGGCCTTTGTAATGCTCATATGAAGGCCCCAAAGAGTGGCTGTCATTGTTCCTTACATTTCTCCTGCAACTATCTGAGGGAAAATACCATGTCACTGGTGGTTCTCCTTCGTGTCCTCTGTGAATACACACTAATGGGTTAATCTGCGGCTGAGCAGAGCAGTCTTTGGTAACTTCCACAGCTTTAAGCACTTAGTGCTGGGACCTCCCCTACACCTGGCTATATAACTCCGCCTCTGGCCCAGTGCTTCAGTTCTTTTTCTGACCGCGCTGTAGCAGCAGCTTCGTTGGAACTTCGCAAGTAGAAACAAATCTTTTTCTTGCCTTTTTCTTTCTTTCCCTTCACCTCCCCTTGTTATTTACTTGAAACAAGTTGTTTCTTTTGCCTGGGGGATCGGCATTAGTGGTTCTTTGTTGAGGCTTTACAAAGCCGGCGTTTCAGCCCTCAGGGCTTTTCTCTTAAAGAATTAATATTTCTTTTATCATCTTTATAACTACTCCCAGGCTGGAAAGCAACAAGTTTGTTTTTGTCTGTTTGCAATTTTCTCTCTTAACAGGATAGAAGAGGACAGCTTCTCAGCTTGCCTGAGCTACAACCTCTCTGGAGTTTGGCACAGAACAGCCTTCTTGTTTCAAGGGGCTCTTTCTTACAGCTGTTGCAGTGAGCGGGCAGCCCTGAAAGGAGGGCCTCCTAGCTCCTGCCCCCCACTTCAGTGGGCTACAGCGTCTTCGGAGGCTGGTGCAAAACAGTCCTCTTGGTTCAAGGGGCTTGCGCTTACAGCTGTTTGACCACGCAGGAGTTAGGGCTCTGTATGCCCGGTCCCTAGGAGAAGAAGGGCCTCCTGTTGCCCCAGAGGTCTTGGAACAGCATCTAGTGTGGCTGAGTATGACAATCCCTTCCACACTGAAGACAAATATAGTCCCCTGTCCAGCTCCCTGATTTTGCTGGTTTTGGGACTGCCTCTTTGCCTCGGTCTGCTGGACAAGTGTCTTTTCAAATTGGGAGAGGCCGTGATGCACCGCCTGCCTCCAGGCTGAATGCTCTGATGTCAAGGTTTCCCATCTGTTGAGGTCCATTCCTAAGGCCTTCAGATCCTGCTTGCAGATATCCTTGTATCACAGCTGTGGTCTCCCTCTAGGTTGCTTTCCCTGCACTAATTCTCCATACAGGAGATCTTTTGGAATCCAACCTCAGCCATTCTCATGACATGCCTGAGCCAACGTAGATGTCACTGTTTCAGTGATGTATACATACTAACAATTCCAGCTCATTCCAGGACTACACTGTTTGGAACTTTGTCCTGCCAGGTGGTGCCAAAGATGTGTCGAAGACAACACATATGGAACGTGTTCAGCTTCCTCTCCTGCCATGCACAGAGGGTCCAGGACTCACTGCAGTACAGGAGTGTACTAAGAACAGAGACATAACAAACCTTACCGCTCAGCAGTAAGTCTGGTGGTCATTTACTTCTATGTCAATGCTCTGAATGTTACTATGCCAAATGTACCTTGCCCTGTATATATGTTTAGCTATAATCAATATAATATATTGTTATTGCTAAGAACTCTCTCATGTTATTTTCTCCCCATGTCTAAATCTCTAAGTTACTCAATACCTAAGTCCCCAAGTCTCTTGCTTTGCTAACATTAAAGTGGGATTCAACCAGACTCTAGGAACTTTTCTTGAGATCAGTGCCTCATTAAGACTCCGGAGTTTTGGCACCACACCAACACTTCCATAGTTATATGGCAGGTATCACCAGTAAAGGCAAGTACAGGGAACATTAAACACAATAATCCTAGTTAAAGATTAAATGAGAAATTAATCTACACAAATCTTGAGCCTCTATCGATTGGAGGCAGGGAGAAGGCTCCTTTTGTTAAGACCTAGAAGACCAGGAGCATATGAATCATCCCAGAAAGGAACAGACAGCTCTACCACTAGGCAAAGTGAGATAGCTACCTCAGACAGCAGCTCTTAGGTGACAGATCGTACCAAACAGCATACCTTGTGCCCTCTAGGTACTGAGACAGTGAGCTAATTCATACTGAGAAAGTGAGCTAATTCAGAGCAGCTTTTCCCCCTCAGTATTTGTTTTTTAAAAATTAAACATGTTTTCCTTGATTAGTTCTGCCATGTTATAATAATAATTTCCATGCCATCAAGACAATTCTGGCTTAGGGCGACCCCCTCCAGGATTTTCTAGGATAGCATATTCAGAAGCGGTTTATCATCTGGGAACACTCTGAGAATGGGTAGCTTGCCCACAACTACACAGGTGGGTTTTCTCCCAGGAGGCACCATGGGGAAGTCCCAACTTCTGGCTTTACAGCCACATGCCCAACTCACTGAGCTATCCTTCCTCCCATGCTATAACCTGCCCTGAACAAATCTTTATGATACGCAGGATAAGTTTAAATGAGCAATCATTCCAACAGACTTACACACTTAATTCTTACCAGTTGAATAAGTAAGCTGATTAGGTCTGTCAGGGGTTTATTAATAAGGAGAAGGTCTTCAGCAGCTTGAGTGTCCCCTCCAATGCCAGCTTTCTGTGCCTTAACAAGAAAAAAATTGTTACAAAGATCAGGAATTGTTACAAAGGAAGAAAACATCAAGAAAATTAAAGCCATAATCTATATCAGGAATCTGATTTTACGATCACACACAGTTAGGGTGCTAATTGCAATACCGATCACTCCCTGGTGTGTAGCAGAGTAAAACTGTGAATAAAGAGACTGTATCATACGAAAAAGGAAGACCACCTATTGACATCAGCAAGACTCGCAATCAGAGAAAAGAGGAGGTATTTGCTCAAGCGCTTGAGGAAACTCTTTGAGGCCTGGCTGATGCAAATGTACTTGAGTGATGGGAACATTTCAAGAATGCTGTTTATAACTCCGCCTTGTTCACATTTGGCAAGAAGACCAAAAAGACTGCAGACTGGTTTGAAGACCATTTAGAGGAGTTGATGCCAGCCATTGAGGAAAAGAGGAGAGCTCTAGCAGCATACAAAGCCTGTCCTAGTGAGTACAACCTGCAGGTTCTTCGAGTTGCTCATAGCAAAGTTCAGCAGACTCCCAGAATATATTCTAATGATTACTGGCTTCAGCTATGCTCTCCGAAAAAAACAGCAGCAGATACAGGTAACATCAAGGGAATGTATGATGGTATCAAGCAGGCTTTAAGCCCAATACAGAGAAAATCTGCTCCTTTGAAGTCTACTACAGGCATGATCATCCAGGACCGAGCACAACAGATGGAACACTGGGTGCAGCACTATTCTGAGCTATAGTCTATCTAGAGAGAATGTAGTAACTGAAGAGGCATTAAATAACATTTAGTGCCTGCCTGTCTTGGAAGAGTTGGACAGCGAACCAACTTTAGCAGAAATAAAAGTGGCCTTGGATTCCCGGCAAGGCACCTGGAAAGGACAATATCTCTGCTGAAGTGTTGAAGAGATAATCACCACCGAGCTGTATGAAATATTTTGTCTTTGCTGGAGGGAAGGTGGAGTACCACAGGACATGAAGGATGCAAACATCAATGTATTCGTGAAGGCTTTCACGGCCGGGATTTAATGGTTGTTGTGGGTTTTTCTGGCTCTTTGGCCGTGTTCTGAGGGTTGTTCTTCCTAACGTTTCACCAGTCTCTGTGGCCGGCATCTTCAGAGCATCTTCAGAGCACAGAGTGCAGTCCTCTGAAGATGCGGGCCACAGAGACTGGCGAAATGTTAGGAAGAACAACCCTCAGAACATGGCCAAAGAGCCAGAAAAACCCACAACAACCATTAAATCCCGGCCGTGAAAGCCTTCACGAATACATTGATGTTTGCATCCTTCATGTCCTGTGGTACTCCACCTTCCCTCCAGCAAAGACAAAATATTTCATACAGCTCGGTGGTGATTATCTCTTCAACACTTCAGCAGAGATATTGTCCTTTCCAGGTGCCTTGCCGGGAATCCAAGGCCACTTTTATTTCTGCTAAAGTTGGTTCGCTGTCCAACTCTTCCAAGACAGGCAGGCACTAAATGTTATTTAATGCCTCTTCAGTTACTACATTCTCTCTAGATAGACTATAGCTCAGAATAGTGCTGCACCCAGTGTTCCATCTGTTGTGCTCGGTCCTGGATGATCATGCCTGTAGTAGACTTCAAAGGAGCAGATTTTCTCTGTATTGGGCTTAAAGCCTGCTTGATACCATCATACATTCCCTTGATGTTACCTGTATCTGCTGCTGTTTTTTTCGGAGAGCATAGCTGAAGCCAGTAATCATTAGAATATATTCTGGGAGTCTGCTGAACTTTGCTATGAGCAACTCGAAGAACCTGCAGGTTGTACTCACTAGGACAGGCTTTGTATGCTGCTAGAGCTCTCCTCTTTTCCTCAATGGCTGGCATCAACTCCTCTAAATGGTCTTCAAACCAGTCTGCAGTCTTTTTGGTCTTCTTGCCAAATGTGAACAAGGCGGAGTTATAAACAGCATTCTTGAAATGTTCCCATCACTCAAGTACATTTGCATCAGCCAGGCCTCAAAGAGTTTCCTCAAGCGCTTGAGCAAATACCTCCTCTTTTCTCTGATTGCGAGTCTTGCTGATGTCAATAGGTGGTCTTCCTTTTTCGTATGATACAGTCTCTTTATTCACAGTTTTACTCTGCTACACACCAGGGAGTGATCGGTATTGCAATTAGCACCCTAACTGTGTGTGATCGTAAAATCAGATTCCTGATATAGATTATGGCTTTAATTTTCTTGATGTTTTCTTCCTTTGTAACAATTCCTGATCTTTGTTACAATTTTTTTCTTGTTAAGGCACAGAAAGCTGGCATTGGAGGGGACACTCAAGCTGCTGAAGACCTTCTCCTTATTAATAAACCCCTGACAGACCTAATCAGCTTACTTATTCAACTGGTAAGAATTAAGTGTGTAAGTCTGTTGGAATGATTGCTCATTTAAACTTATCCTGCGTATCATAAAGATTTGTTCAGGGCAGGTTATAGCATGGGAGGAAGGATAGCTCAGTGAGTTGGGCATGTGGCTGTAAAGCCAGAAGTTGGGACTTCCCCATGGTGCCTCCTGGGAGAAAACCCACCTGTGTAGTTGTGGGCAAGCTACCCATTCTCAGAGTGTTCCCAGATGATAAACCGCTTCTGAATATGCTATCCTAGAAAATCCTGGAGGGGGTCGCCCTAAGCCAGAATTGTCTTGATGGCATGGAAATTATTATTATAACATGGCAGAACTAATCAAGGAAAACATGTTTAATTTTTAAAAAACAAATACTGAGGGGGAAAAGCTGCTCTGAATTAGCTCACTTTCTCAGTATGAATTAGCTCACTGTCTCAGTACCTAGAGGGCACAAGGTATGCTGTTTGGTACGATCTGTCACCTAAGAGCTGCTGTCTGAGGTAGCTATCTCACTTTGCCTAGTGGTAGAGCTGTCTGTTCCTTTCTGGGATGATTCATATGCTCCTGGTCTTCTAGGTCTTAACAAAAGGAGCCTTCTCCCTGCCTCCAATCGATAGAGGCTCAAGATTTGTGTAGATTAATTTCTCATTTAATCTTTAACTAGGATTATTGTGTTTAATGTTCCCTGTACTTGCCTTTACTGGTGATACCTGCCATATAACTATGGAAGTGTTGGTGTGGTGCCAAAACTCCGGAGTCTTAATGAGGCACTGATCTCAAGAAAAGTTCCTAGAGTCTGGTTGAATCCCACTTTAATGTTAGCAAAGCAAGAGACTTGGGGACTTAGGTATTGAGTAACTTAGAGATTTAGACATGGGGAGAAAATAACATGAGAGAGTTCTTAGCAATAACAATATATTATATTGATTATAGCTAAACATATATACAGGGCAAGGTACATTTGGCATAGTAACATTCAGAGCATTGACATAGAAGTAAATGACCACCAGACTTACTGCTGAGCGGTAAGGTTTGTTATGTCTCTGTTACATTTATACACAGAACAACCAATCACATTTCTCCATTTACAGTTGTTTTTGTTAACAATTAAGCATTACATGCTTCACCTGGATGCTGTAAGTCATTATATTGGCTTTTTCTCTACATTCTTGACTCTTGCACTTCATTTACAATATTAAAATTTAACTCCCTGTTCATCAACAGAACAAAATTCTGATAGGAAGGTGTCTTGTCTCATCAATATTGTCCATTGTGAATGTAAGCTTGGAGATCCTATGAAATGATTTTTGAAAACCACAACACAGAGAAGGGTATTTACTACTAAATGCCACATCCTAGGTGATCAGTTGAGGCAATTTCTTCCTTCAGGAGTGGAGACAGACTTTGTGTTGCTTTCCATAGGGAAAGTAGAAGCTGTTGGGAAAACAAATTTGTTTCTTATATTTCATTTCTATTCTTGTATGTGGGGGAGGGGCAGGATAGTCCACCTACCCTGTATTTGGCAGAAATAATTTAAAATGTCATGGATTTATTGTAAGTTGTGGGAGGGGATGTAGTTTAAATCTTGTGCTATCATTCAACTCATAGCAGGGATTCTTGAGATCATATCCCTACTTCCTCCAGTTACAGCTGATAGTATAATGCCAGTTGGCAAGTTTTATTGTTTCTATAGCTGGCATAGGAATCAAGGATGTTTTATGGCTCTGACAGTCTAGTCAAGCTGAGTGGCTTCTCCCACTGAGGAAGTATTTTTTTTTCTTTTTCGTGGTCTCTGTGAATACACACTAATAGAGGTTAAGTCTGCGCTCGCGCAGAGCAGCCTTGGAACTTTCTAGCTTGAGCACATGGTGCCGGGACCTCCCACATGCTGGCTATAACTGTGCCCCGAAACCAGTTCCTTTCTTACTGCCACTACAGCAGCTTCGTTAGGAACTTTGTGCATACAATCTAATCAAACATACCTTTTCCTACTTTGGACCTCCCTGGCTTCGTCTCGGCTTGTTGACCACTCTTCTTCTCAGTGAGTTTACCTTGAAAGAATAAAATTGGACTTGTTAGAATTTAACCGGCTTCAGGTTTATGGCCTCGCCGGGCCTCTTCAAGAGGTGCTAGGTTTGCTCAAACAAGATTCCCCTCTCGGATGGGCACTCTCGGTGTTTGTTCTGCCTAGGGGAAGAACACCAACTGGTCACTTGCACTTTTTGCAAGAGCTTTACTAAACCAGCCTTAGGCTTCAGCACCTCAGGTCTTTCCTCTGGGAAAAGTCCCTTTCACCCTCTCAGAGTGCCTCCAAAGGTCCAGCAGCCATGGGTTCACTGGATTCTAGGGTTCAGAAGATGGCAAAATGGCTGCTAAAATGAAGTCATCTTCTTCAGCATTGAGATTGACAGCCCCAACTTCGACACCGAGACTGCTCTTGACACTGGTGTTGAAAAAGAAGACAAAGACTCTGAAGCAAGCTCAGACTGTAGACACCAAGGCCAGAGGCATCCCGGCAACATTTGGTTAGCCTGAGTCTGCCTTCAGGGGATGAGGAGCTGCCATTGCCGATAGCCCTGCCATCTCCTTGTGTCAGTGAGCTGCCTGACTGGGGTAACACCTCTTTAGAGGTTGTGGATCTGGTGCAGGTTAGCCCTTGTTCATCACAGGGCTCAAAGGCGAAGCAACCGTCGCCTTTACCGATGCCATTGGTTCAGGCTGAGGTTCCTAAGAAAAGGACCCATAAGACTCGGCACCTTGAACCACCAAAGCAGCCGGACACATATGGCCCCTCACCAGAGACAATGGGGTGCCCTGCCTGCCAGGGCAGAAGGCATTATTATGATTACCCCCAGTTCTATGCATCTGAGGACTTTGAGCTTGACCTGCGACTCTATCCTGTGCCTTACGGGTATGATCCTTATTGCCAATATCAGCACTACCGGCCGTATGCCCCCATCTCTGGCTAGATATCAGGGCTGGCAGGATTATGCTGGCAATGTCGAGGAAGCTTATCTTCTTCCACCTCCTCCTCAACCTCATAAGAGGTGCTTGCCTCTGGACCACACCGCAGCTGCAGGAGCTAAGTGTCCATCACGGATGCTGTCAGACGCAGCGGCTGAACGCCTGAGTTACGACCGCCCTGCTGCTGAGTCAGAAGCGAGCTTGATGCAAGCCCAAGCTGGGAGAGACCTCTGTCAAGCTCTACCGGAGGAGGCTCCTTATTCCCCCTCAGTTGACCAGGACTTGGATTCACTGGTGTCAGAAGGGGAGGCAGAGTCACCTACCAACATTCCTACACCAATATCAAACGTGGCTGAGAGTTATCCCCTGTCGCTGTCAGAGGATTATTCATCATACTCTCAACTAATCCTCCACATCACCAAGGTCCTCGAGCTTAATATCGAGGTACCTACAACCAAAAGGACTGATAAGGTCTACGAGGACATTACTCAGGAGCAGTCTCCTCCCCCCCGGCTCGGGTTCATCCCTTCTCTCTGAGCTCGTGAGAAAATCATGGGCGAAGCCTTCGACCTCCTATCAGATCCCTAGGAGGGTGGAAAATCTTTACAAGTTTTATGGGCAAGATACGGTGTGGCAATCTCCTCCGAAGCCCTTATTTCCTCAGGCCTTCGCAAAGTTCTCACCCTTCTTTCTTCGGTGCCACCAGGTATTGCTGCTTCAATACCATTCAATCAAGGAGACACATGTGTTTTTATAACTTAAGTCATTTATTAGATCAGGGAAGTTAACATCTGATTAATATTCGATAAATAAATCACAGGTTGCTAATCACTTGTATTTATATCAATTCTGCCATAAAAGCGTTTCCTAAGAAACTGCTTTTACATGGAACAGAGAGGGTCCGGGATGATCAGTTCCTACTCAGGCAAAACTGGGTCCTTTAATTTTACCCTAGGCAACTTTTTCACCCTTTCTCCCAAGTCTGCTCCGATTTTTAAATAAACAATCTCCAGTAATTCTAGATTTACTCTTCTTTATCTTATATGTAGGACCCTAAATTGGTAGCATGCGCGTGGCCTGATTAAATAAATCAATTTTAAAGTAGCCAATTAACTAGAGTAGCTTGACGGTCTATTCAAGAAGCCAACGTACAGACAACCAGCCTTTTTATATTTTATTACAAAGATAGAGATTAATTTGAAACACATTTAGATAAGCCAATCTTTACACAAATAATCATTTCCAAATTACCCCAGCCGATACCAACAAACATTTCCTCTATAAAAACGAAAATAACAACCCAAAATAACAAAATAGCTTACTACATTTTCAAACAGAGTTCTATCTTACTGTTAATTAGAAAAATAAGAGTCCTTTAGTAGCTTTTCCTCTACTGAAATTCATGCTGCGTTCCGGCAGTCGTCCGGGCTGTTTCTCCGTCCATCTCCTCCTCCTTCTCTCTTCTCCCATCTTTCTTAAATTAACAATTTATGTCCTTGTCCGTCGGAGTTGAGATAAGATAAAGCTCTTCTTGACTTTTTTTTTTCTTTAGCTGGAGAAGAACTGACCTTGTACATTTTTTCTCTCTAATTAGCACCTGGACACAAGCGGATTTCTAGCTTTTTCGTTGCTGCTCTGAAATAAATCCTATGAAATACATCTCTATTCTATTTTCATAATCAAATTCATGACAAATTCTACTTTGACTTTAAATCTCTAATAACTCTCTGTACCATTCAGCGTTCTTACAGAACTCTAACTCACTCTAAGTTCACTTTTAAGTTTCACACTGTCTCTCACTCACAGAATCTCTCTCAGACTCCATACACCAGCCTTTATATCCAGCCCCCTCCCCCCTTCGCTCCACCTTGCGTCCTCTCATTGGCTCCTACTCCACTGTTCAGCTGTGACGGACAGTGAGGGCAGGGCTGTTTGCTACATACGGATTTCCTCTTTAAACACCCCATGCCTAATTCCTTTGTAGTTGATGCCACGCAAAATTGAGCCTGAAATCACTCGCATCTTCGCCCGGTAATAAG